TGTACTTGTTCTAAAATAAGACTGAAGTTTATGTGGGAAAAAACGAAGCAAGGTAGCCGATCAGACTGATCATTTCCATGTGTATAAGAGATATTTGAGAAGTTTGATTTAATTGAAATAAATCTATAATATTAATAAGCATCTCATATAGCTCTATGCCATCATCTACAAGTAGAAAATAAAATTATCTACTCGAATTTTATTTCTCACAATCTCTTTGATTTAAAAAGCAGAAAGTATTGTTTTGTTTCTGACTCTCATCTTCGAGTTGTTTAACACATAATTAAAGGTCTCATACCGTTTGACATGTAAATGTACTTTTCCAATTGCACTGAGACATTAAACATATTAAAAATACATGACATTACATGTAATAAAAATGAAAATTGATTAAACAGTATTATATTTAATCAAGATCTCGATTATAGCTAGATTCTTCATAGACAAATTAAAAAGGATGAAATTATTTTTAGGGAGTTTATGAAATTGCATGACATTTTTTATTAACTTCATCGATTCTGTAACTGACCATACAAGATATAATCATAGAAGTATTGTTTCTAGTTTAAAGCTCATATCAATATCAATATCAACCCTTAGAAAATTCTAGACCAACAATAAAAATTTGAAGAAGAAATCTTCACACTTATTGCTATTGAGAATAGCTAAAATCGTGATAAAATCTTTACTATCGTTTTTTTTGTGAGAATCCTCAAAAATTTATACCTATTGAATAACCTACAAAACAAAAACTTGCAAAGATTTTAGATCAATGTTTCGATAGAAGATTCGTATTGTCTTGTAAAGAAGTGAAAATACTGAATCGTAGAAAGTTCAAAATCGATCCGTGATCGAAACTGCTATTGTTTAAAAAATCGTGTCCCATATCCTATTAAGTTGAAAATTTGTAATACATTAGAAATGAATTCAGAATAAAAGATTTGATTGATTCATATATAGATTATTGTTTGTGCTACAATGCAGAATAATGAACATGACAGATTCTTCAAATATTCTTGAACTTGGGAAAGATTTGTTTTTGAGTTCTTCTTATCTACTAAAATTTGAACTTACGTATTTTTTTATCTAAATTTATCTTATTTAGCACTTCGATTAGCCTTTCTACAAACTACTTGTTTGTTTGACATTCAGGAATAAATTACTCAATAATAAGATACTTTCCAATGATGTATGATTTATATTTGTCATGCATTCGTAAATGGAATAAGAAAGAAAAATACTTACACAAAAAATTTGTAATTTTTTTATATAAATCAGTCGAAAACGTCTTATGCATGGTAGTTAAGTATAATTAACTATTGTTATTATCTAGCAAGATGTTTTTAACGAATTCATATAAAAGTGGCAAATTTGTTTTGTCTCATTTCACTCAGAAATGTGTGACGAACATAAATTATACACCATTTCCTATCAACAGATAACAAAATTGTTTTTTCTTACGTTCAAATTCTATTATAACTCATTTTATTGTAAAATCCAAACAATAAAAAATGAAATAATTTTTAAATATATTTCAAACTCGAACTAACGAAATCAGTGAATATGTTGAAAAAATTCGATATAAAAGCATATTTCATTTACGATAAAATTCGAGTTAATCACAATTTTTCACATTATCAGTTAAATTTTAGTTAGTTTCAAAATATTTGAAAACGTCAACAATATTTGTTTTCAACATTGAGAAAAGCCAGATTCTAATCAAGTTCATAAGTAAAAAGCTTTTGTAATTGAGAGCAGTTCAATACTGTTTAAAACAAATGAGAATGATTCATTTCAATGAAATTGATGTTTATTTCTACTCCTTACTTTCGTTGCATTTCAGTACCAATGCGTGCAAGTTCCATTGATATTCATCCGAATGCAAAATGGACACAGAATGGTGTCACTGTTGCTGGAGGAAATAGATGGGGCAGTGAAACCAATCAACTCGATCGTCCATATGGTTTGTACGTCGACGATGATCAAACGATTTATGTCGCTGATCGTTGGAATCATCGTATTGTGGAATGGAAATCTGGTGCAACGAATGGAAAAGTAGTTGCTGGTGGAAATGGATCAGGTAATGGAGCTCATCAGTTAAACTACCCATATGATGTGATTATCGACAAAGAGAGCGATAGTCTCCTCATCAGCGATTGGGGGAATAACAGAGTAGTTCGATGGCCTCGTCGAAATGATACTCGTGGAGAAACAATTATTTCAAATATCTCTTGTAGGGGTTTGACAATGGACGACAATGGTTCTCTCTATGGCCTTGACTGCGAGAAACATGAAGTGAGACGATATAAAATTGGTGACACTCAAGGAACAGTGGTTGCAGGTGGCAATGGACAAGGAAGTCGTCTCGATCAACACTCTAAACCCTCCTACGTATTTGCCGATCGAGATCATTTAGTTTATGTGTCTGATCGTGACAATCATCGTGTAATGAGATGGGAAGAAGGTGCAAAACAAGGCATTGTCGTAGCCGGTGGTCAAGGACAAGGAAATAGTCTTACACAATTGAATGAACCTGAAGGAGTCGTTGTCGATCAATTGGGTACTGTCTATGTGGCTGATTCTGAGAATCATCGAATCATGCGTTGGCCAAAAGGATCCACACAAGGAAGTGCCATTGTCGGTGGAAACGGTGAAGGAGCACAGTCGAATCAACTCGATCAACCCATAGGTTTATCATTCGATCGACATGGTAATCTCTATGTCGTCGATGCCGGAAACGCTCGAGTACAAAAATTTAATGTCGAATGAAATTCAATACGATGATGAATTTTATTTTTTTTTGTTCTCTTTCTCTTTCAAATAAATTGCGATTGAATGAAAAAATGATTTCATAGCTATTCTATTCTCTTCGCGCGCGCGCGACCAGGAACCATCCTGGTGGAGCCGTGGCGAGCGTAAAGCTCATGCACACGCGGGAAGACTCACATCATCCACATGCACCCATCCGATGTCATATGTCAGTGAGTCTGGGGGCCCGATCATGTGCCACGGACACCAAGACAGTTCCTGGCCAGGCTTTTAGGGACTACCCGGAAGTCCTTCTTATAAAGCGAAACCCTAAACTCAACGTACCTCACTCACCCTAACTATTCTCATCTCAACAAAGAAAAGAAAAAGAAAAACATGAATATAAAAGATCACAAGAGGACTTACCACCCTCTGTATGATCTAATAAAGAAAAAAAAACTGATACCTACATTTTTTTATTGTGTTGTATTGATTTGAATTGTATAATTTTGTATCGTCGAAATCATTCTAAAATATAAAAAGAAAAGATTAATATTTGATTCAATAAATTGAATGATTTTTACATGGAAAATCATTCATATTTATACGTTAAAAAGTCGATAATTTTCTTTTTTTTTTTCTCGTCAGAGAGTGATGAAAAGATGATAAAAGTTAAGCTATTATCAACATACACGCATACATTGAGATAAAGTCAATCACAGTATCTTAATGTATGTGTATGGATAATGCTTAATTGACGTACACACTCATTATGTCATATTATCATTGATCATCAATGACAACATGAAGCATAACTTACGGACGAGAGAAGAAAAGAAAAAAACATTATTGTCTAGGCCTGTTTTTCATTCTTGTCTGTGTCATGTTCGTTTGTGAGCACACGAAGCAGACGAACACACAATATTCAAGTATGTGTTCATCATTGAATTCTTTTCTCTTTGTTCGATAGATCAGCAGCAACATGGAAAAATTTTTATCATATATTCGCAATTTTTAATATGTAAAATATGAATTTATTGTAATTATTGCAACTTGTCAACCTGAAGGGCGTCATTTGTCTGATTTGAATGCTATATGGGTTGCTCGAAATCAATTTATTTTTCTTGATAAAAAAATTATATTGTAAGTTTAAATTTGTTTCTTTTTTTAAATTTTTTCATTAATTTTTTAGGTTGGTACACGTCTTTTATTAATTCGTGAAAATTATGATATTATTTTATATGATGCTCAACAAAAGCGCTCATTAACAAGTATAAGAAAAAGCAATATGGTCAAATGATAAAGTATGCCCTTATTAATGGTGATCATGGAGTTATTTGTACAGTTGATTTACCTATTTATAGAACAAAAGTTAATGAAAATATTGTTTTTTTGTTTTCATACAGAAGTTCGACCGAAATTAGATGGTAAAGATTGTTGGGAAAAATTAACTTTTATTTATTTACAAGATCAGATTCCAATGCTATTAGAAGATGTTGAAGAATCCATTAAACTTCTTAGACAATGAAATAAAAGTAAGATTTTAGATTGTTCTTTTCTTTTTTCTAAGAGAAAATTATTAAATTTGTTGCGTTTCTTGTACACTGGAATCACTTGATGAAAAAGTAATTTATTATTGACAACAAAAAAAATTCTCATCTTAATACTTCTTCTGAAGGTCTTTAGAAAAAAAAAACAAAACAATATAGAAAATTTTATTTTTAGTTTTCTAATATTTTCAGCTGAAAGTCCTGAAACCTAGTTATAGAATTTCGTGCGAATATATCAATTCTTTTGAGATTCTAAATAATATCTAAGAATGTTTAATTATGTCTAGCATATCCTTTATCTAAAGATTTTCCCGTACTATGGGATAGAGAAGTTTATGATAATTATCGATGTTGCTTTTGATATTAACAGATAAGATTTTTTTGAAAATAGATTACAAGAAATTACCATGTCATAGTTAATTTAGTGTTCCTGCTTTGATTGATATCCATTTGAATGTAGATTTTAAAAAAGTAAGAAGACTTCTCATATTCTATGTCAAAAAAGAAATAGGTCAGTAGACTGAGATTTCAACAAAGATGTTATTACTTGTTCTTTATTTAATTGATATGTTAGATATGAAGTATTAAGATAGACATACATTTAATCAATATTAATCTCGTGTTAAATTTCATAATTCAAAATAAAATATATTTTTTTTAGTTACTTGAAACAAATCTACATGCTAAATTAATTTTATCACCATGTCCAAGAAGTCAACAAGAATTAAAGCAGGTTGGATATCAAACATAACAGCAAAACTTGCTGCAAACCTTCATATTGATGAAATAGCAAGAAGTGGTGAAGATTGGACTGATGATGCAATAAAAATTGAAGGTGTAAGTTGAGGTGATACTGAAATTGAATTATCACCTGATCTTGTATGTTTTTATTCAAATATATAAATTATTTGTTTACTTCATAAATATTTTAAAGTTATTTTAATTATTAAAGCGTAATGAACATTGACCAAAATTATTGTATCTACTACTTGGATTAAAATTAGAAAAATTAGTTGGACGCCTTCAAATTGCTTATTGTTTAACAAAAAACGAATAATTTCAAGATGAACAATGAATTGAAATATGTAAAGAATATATTGTTAGTTGACAAATGTCAATGACAAAAACGAAGATTTAGCGAAAGATGATGAAAAACGTTGATATGAATTAGTTGCCTGTTTTACTCATTGACAATTACAATCAATGCACAAAATCATAAAATTAAAATCTGCAGTTAATCAAGCATTTAAATTAAAAATTTATACAACTGCAACAAGCTTCACCAAACGTTTATTGGAATTGGAACCAACACCTGATGTTACTCAATAGATTTTCTGTTTTAGTATTAATCTTTCATTTTCAAACCAAATACTCTCATTCTTTCTTGACTTCAACTTTGAAAGGTTTTAAAATAAACCAAAA